TGAGACCTCACCTGGAGTACTGTGTCCAGTTCTGGGCTCCCCGGTTCAAGAAAGATGAGGAACTCCTAGAGAGAGTCCAGAGGAGAGCAACAAAGATGATGAGGGGACGGGAGCATCTCCCCCATGAGGAAAGGCTGAGAGAGTTGGGCTTGTTCAGCCTGAAGAAGAGAAGACTGAGAGGGAATCTCATCAACATGTACAATTATCTCAAGGGTAGACGTCACGAGGACGGAGCAGACTCTTCTCAGAGGTGTTCAGTGACAGGACAAGGGTCAATGGGCACAAACTAAAGCATAAGAGGTTTCAGTTGAATATGCAGAAAAAATTTTTTACTTCAAAGGTGACAGAGCACTGGAACAGGCTGCCCAGGGGGGTTGTGGAATCTCCTTCTCTGGAGATCTTCAAAACCCGCCTGGACAATGTCCTGTGCAACCTGCTCTGGGTGAACCTGCTTTAGCAGGAGGGTTGGACTAGATGATCTCCTGAGGTCCCTTCCAATCCTTGCCATTCTGTGATTCTGTGAAGGTGTTTATGATTAATAAGGATTGCAAACTTGGAGAATACTAAATTGACAGGATAGCATACACAGGCAGACAGTTGAATTGTGAAGTCAGTAGCACAAACAAGAACAGGAGAGGATGCATGCAACTAGCAGACTTGGTATTTGTTGCAGCCAAGTCCTTCATCCAAGAAAACAAAACTAATCCAACATGCCAAGTTCCCTAAAGATGTTTATTTACAGACTATTCTGTAAGTGTCCTAATATCATCAGATACTATAGTATGATTCTGAAAAAAGTATACTTGAGATTTTAAGAGTTTAGAGCTCAAAAGTACAGAAGTCTAAAAAACAGTAAGGTAAACACATGGACAAGAACACTGAGTTTCTATGGGCTGATTATTAAAGAAAGCGAACTAAATGTTCACACAGAAAAAAAACCAAAAATATTATAGGAAGCATGGTAACTGCCCAGTCAAAATCAGAATTATTTTTCTGGTACTGGAGTAAAGAATGTAAGTGGCTACCAAATAGATACTATATATCTGACAATGACTGTTGCTTAAAACTATTAAAATTGTTCTAGAAAAGTTACCAGAATGCCCATCAGCTCATTCTAACTACATATAGCTTTGTTTTTATGAATTAACGTTCACAAGTAACAGAATTTATATTTTAATTATCCACTTCATATTAGTCATTTTGCCCTTTACACTACAGACTTGGCTATAATGAAAGGCTCAAGATCATTCTTTCCACCGTAATTATTAAGATTTGTGTTCCGTCACAAAACATCACTTCTAAGAAGTTTTTCTTCTAGTTTATTTACAAAACAGTGTTAGGAAGCCACCATCCTCAGACCAACTGATTTCTAACACAATGACCTAGCTTTAGCAATTAGGCGCTGCCTATTTTTTGAGTATTGACAGTGATTAGAATCTACAGCTACAAAGTCAGAAAAATCCTTTTCAGCACCTTCTATTTACAGAAGGCTATTACTGTTGCATGCTGAGTACCAATAACCAGCCAACTCCACCAACTGTTTAGAAGCCCTACAAGTCCTACCGACGCTCAGCCACAATGTTAATCTTCTCTTGCTATATGTTGGCATGATATAACAGCACATAATGTAGACAACCCACAGTTTAAAACAACCGATGTCAGGCTCTGTTGACGGAAGTTACATCACTACCTCATTTTTAGTGTCTGAATGCTAAAAGGCCAGCTTTGTGACAATAAGCTTCTTAATCCTTTACAGAGATGGTTGTTTTCCTTTTCACTTAGCTTCACATGCTTCAGCAGTGCTCATGCAGAAGCAGACTTAACATGTAAGTTCGTATATGAAGGCAGAACAGTAAGTGCAGGGTTTTTACTACATCTAAGGTTAGAGTCTTTCAATTTTTACCTTTGGTTTCCAGAGTCACAGGATCGGAGTATTCCCCTGCCACAGCTTTGTTGCAAGCTTGTACTCTAAGGTTCATGTATTTTGTATCAAATTTCAGACCTAAAAAATGAATGTTTAGAAATCTGAATTGATATTAATTGCTAACAATTTTCGCAAGAGTAAGATATATTCCACGTAGCTGTCTTCCATTTATCTCACTCTGCAGAAAAAAAAAGCTTAAATATCAGTGTGAACTCCATCTAACACATGATTTTTTACAAAACCTCAAAGCCAAATAAGAGACAGAACCATTATTGTACGAAGCACCCAAGACTTATGTGAAACAATGGAAGCTTCATTACATACAGGAAAATGGGCATTTTGCAAAACTTCCAAGCATAGACACTTATATCAATATTTTTGGGTTTGAAGTATAAAAACCCTTTACCTGACAATGTATATTCAGTAGCTTTAATGTAGTCTATCAGTTCCCAACGCTGTTCATCTTTTACTCGAGGAAGCCCATCAAAGTTGGTTTTCCTATACTCCAGTACAAAATGATCAATTCTGCTGTCTTCTTCAGGCATTCTCCATGATACTGTGATGCAGTTATCAGCAACCAGACATGCTGCTAGATCTATCTCTGGAGCTTTAGGGACTGCAGAAAGACAAATACACAGATCAGTTTAAAGAAGAGAATAGACTGAATATTAATTTGTTCTCCTTGGATTTTTAGAGTCCAGAAGTTGCCCGTGGCCCAGTAACACTCCTTCCTTTGAAAGGATTGATTCCATTAGCAAAGCATGATAGAACGCTGGGCATGTCACTTTCACTTAGCATGCATTTTAGAAAACAAAGAAATATTCATTAGCTCTAGAGTGAATATTTGCATCACATTTTCCAGATGTTTGTATTGTCAGTAAGTTGGGCTGATCCCCTTCTGGAAGCAATTAAGACAGACATGCTAGAGTAGAATGGACTTACAATTGTGAATCTACACTACAGTTGGAGTAACACTACAGAGGAAGAACATTAAGAAGCAAACTTGTTTCTCTGAGTCTTTGGAAGGTAAGTACAGCTGCAGCCCTCAAACAGTACCACTTAAGTTTACTTCCACCACTGCAGACAACTGAGTAATAGTTTCCACTAGCCAATCAGCAGTTACTGAGTTTTCTTTCTTTTTCATCCTTTGTCTTGAAAGAAGGGGAAAGAATTCCTAAGATCCCCTAAAGAAAAGACTGAAGTTTTGTTTGTAGACAATAGAAGTCTATTTCCATGAAATCGAAGAGCACTTAAGTCTTCGGAAAATGTTTTTCAAAAGAAGGCATTAACATACTCTTCATAGTGTCCGAAGTACATTCAAGAAAGCCTTTTGCTGGAGAAAGTGAAAAAGATGTTTTATGGTTTGCAGTTTTTGGAGGAAGGATGTGCAAAGCTTTTCCTTTGTTTCAGCATTCACAAAAGCTTGAAATAAGATATAAAACTGGCTTGCAAGTCAATGTACCAAGCAGGAATATCAAAAAAGTACAATACTGATGGATGTGTGGAACTGATGGACTTGCAGATTGTTTGTCAAAAAACATCCCTTTACATAACACTCAAACCCTTGTGTTGTTCTGTGTAGTTGTTGTTCAGCAACCAAGTCCTAATTACCTACAGGTTGCCTTTATGCAGTTAAAACAACTATTTCTTGAAAGACTGTTAGCTATGATTCCCCTCCACAATGACTGATGACAATCAGCATCACGTTAATTATGGTTGAGTCATTTAGAGATGGGTAATTTACCATCTAGATACAAACACCACCTAGCAATAGCAGGTCCACTAAAAGCAGGCAGCCTAGTTTGCTTTATGCGCACTACTTCGCACCTTCCCTTCATAACCTGTTCAAATATTTTAACCTTGCTACTGAAACACACCCTTTTACACACACACACACACACACACACCGCCCATCCCTGCAGTTTAAGCCAAACAGGAATGACACTGAAACTGGTGGTATAGGTTTAAAGTGCTTCAGAACAAATAAGCATCACGGAAGAGACCAAAAGCAAAAGTATTCAAGTCTGTACTGGTTTTGGCTATGACAGAGTCACATTTCTTCAGAGAGGCCTGTACAGTGCTGCACTTTGGATTTGTGATGGAAACAATGTTGATAACACAGGGGCTTTAGTTACTGCTGAGCAGCATCAAGGCCTTTTCTGCTTCTCACCCCACCAGCGAGCAGGCTGCGGGTGGACAAGAAGCTAGGAGGGGACACAGCCGGGACAGCTGACCCAAACTGACCAAAGCGATATCCCACACCATATGACATCATGCTCAGCCACAAAAGCTGGGGGAATAAGAAGGAAGGGAGGAACCTTCAGAGTCAGGCCATTTTGTCTTCCCAAGTAACAGTTACACATGATGGAGCCCTGCTTTCCTGGAAAAGGCTGAACATCTGCCTGCCAATGGCAAGTAGCAAATTAATTCATTTACACACACAGCTTTTGCTTTACCTATTAAACTGTCTTCATCTCAGCCCACAAGTTTTCTCACTTTTAGCCTTCTGATTCTCTTCCCCATCCCACTGCAGAAGGAGGGGTGAGCACGGGGCTGCGTGGTGCTTAGCTGACTGCTGGGGTTAAACCACAACAAATTCTCAAGTGTTAATCTCATACATTTGCCATCAAATTCCTAAGTCATCCAACAATAATTTGAGGATAGTAAGATTCCTTCTTAGGCAAAAGGAAAATTAAGATGAGGACAAGTATCGCAGAACATATACCTGAAAATCAACAACAGTGGTAAAGACAACTTCCTCACACAACTGGTGAGTGAACCAACTAGGGAAGGCACCTTGCTGGACCTGCTGTTTGTGAACAGAGAAGGCCTTGTGGGTGATGTGATGGTTGGAGGACACCTGGTGCATAGCGATCACGAAGCAATAGAATTCTCAGTTCTTGGAGAAGTAAGGAGGGGAGTCAGCAGAACTGCCACCTTGGGCTTCTGGAGGGCAGACTTTGGACTGTTCTGAAGGCTGGTTGACAAAGTCCCTTGGGAGGCAGTTCTGAAGGGCAAAGGAGGCCAGGAAAGCTGGATGCTCTTCAAGAAGGAATTCCTGGAGGCACAAGAGCAGGCCATCCCATGTGCTGAAAAATGAGACAGTGGGGAAGAAAACTGGCCTGGCTGAACAGAGAGCTTTGGCTGGATCTCAGAAAAAAGAGGAAAATCTATGAGCTTTGGAAGAAGGGGCAGGCATCTCAGGAGGACTACAAGGATGTTGCAAGGTCATGCACAGAGAAAGTCAGAAGGGCTAAAGCCCATTTAAAACTTAAATTGGCCAATTCTGTGAAAGATAATAAAAAAAGTTTCTATAAATACATCAATAACAAAAGGAGAGCCAAGGAGATCCTCCATTCTTTACTGGATGCAGGGGGAACCACAGTGACAAAGAATGAGGATAAGGCTGAGGTACTTAATAACTTAGACTCATAGAATGTTTCGGGTTGGAAGGGACCCCTAGAGGTCATCTAGTCCAACCCCCCTGCAGGGAGCAAGGACACCTTTAACTCGATCAGGTTGCTCAGAGCCCCATCCAACCTGGTCTTGAACGTTTCCAGGGATGAGGCCTCCACCACCTCTCTGGGCAACCTGTTCCAGTGTTTCACCACCCTCATTGTAAAGAATTTCTCCCTTGTATCCAGTCTAAACCTACCCTGTTTTAGTTTAAAGCCATTACCCCTTGTCCTGTCACAGCTGGCCCTGCTAAAAAGATTGTCCCCATCTTTCCTATAGGCCCCCTTTAGGTACAGAAAGGCCACAATCAGGTCTGCCCGCAGCCTTCTCTTCTCCAGGCTGAACAAGCCCAACTCCCTCAGCCTGTCCTCATAGTCTCCTGGCTGGACGCCTTGGAAATCTCTCGTAGCCTTGTCTCCAGTCCTGTCCCTCTGAAATGGTCACTGCTGCCATAGCCTAGGTATAGGAGAAGTCCACTAAACTGTACCTGCCTGCTTCTGTCTGTTTTTCTCTTTTTGGGCTAAAACGCTGTGGAGCAGATGCTCCTAAGTGCTGTGGAAGGACCTGTATTGATACCGGGGGTTACCCTGACCCAGGTGCAGGACCTTGCACTTGGCCTTGTTGAACCTCATGAGGTTCACACAGGCCCACCTCTCCAACTTCTTTGCCTCAGTCTAACAGTAAGGTCAGCTGTTCTCCAGGTACCCAGGCACCTGAGCCAGAAGACAGGGACAGGGAGCAGAATAAAGCTCCCGTGACCCAGAAGGAAATGGTTAGTGACCTGCTTGGCCAATTAGACATACACAAGCTCATGGAGCCAGACAGTGTACACAGGGAGCTGGTGGAAGTGCTCATCAAGCCCCTTTCCATCATCTATCAGCAGTCCTGGATGACTGGGGAAGTTCCACTTGACTGGAGTTTGGCAAATATCACACCCATTTACAAGAAGGGCTGGAGGGAGAATCTGGGGAACTACAGGCCTGTCAGTCTGACCTTGGTGCTGGGGAAGGTCATGGAGCAGATCATCTTGAGTGCCATCACACAGCATGTCCAGGACAACCAGGTGATCAGGCCCAGCCAGCAGGGGTTTATGAAAGGCAGGTCCTGCTTGACCAACATGATCTCCTTCTGTGACCAGGTGACCTGCTCAGTGGACAAGGGAAAGGCTGTGGATGTAGTGTACCTGGACTTCAGTAAAGACTTTGACACTGTCTCCCACAGCATTCTCCAGAGAAGCTGGCAGCTTGTGGCCTGGACATGCCTACTCTTTGCAAAAAGGTGAAAAACTGGCTGGATGGCTGAGCCCAGAGAGTTGTGATGAACAGAGTTAAATCCAGTTGGTGACCGGTCACAAGCTGGGTTCCCCAGGGTTCAGTTCTGGGGCCAGTTATGTTTAACATCTTTATCAACAACCTGGACGAAGAGATGGAGTATACCCTCAGCAAGTTTGCAGATGACACTAAGCTGGGTGAACGTGTCAATCTGCTTGAAGGGTAGGAAGGCTCTACAGAGGGACCTGGGCAGGCTGGATTGATGGGCTGAGGCCAATTGGATGAGGTTTAGCAAGGCCAAGTGCTGGGTCCTGGCACTTCAGTCACAGCAATCCCATTCAACACTACAGGCTTGGGGAAGAGTGGCTGGAAAGCTGCTTGGCAGAGAGGGATCTGCGGGTACTGATCAAAAGCTGACTGAATATGAGCCAGCAGTGTACACAGATGGCTAAAAGGCCAATGGCATCCTGGCTTGTATCAGGAATAGGGTGGCCAGCAGGAATAGGGAAGTGATCGTGCCCCTTTACTCGGTGATGGTGAGGCTGCACCTCAAATACTGTGTTCAGTTTTGGGCCCCTCATTACAAGAAAGATGTGACGTTGCTGGAGCATGTCCAGAGGAGAGACACAAAGCCAGTGAGAGGTCTGGAGCACAAGTCTTATGAGGAGATGCTGAGGGAGCTGGGGTTGTTTAGTGTGGAGGAGGCTGAGGGGAGACCTTATCGCTCTCTACAACTGCCTGAAAGGAGGCTGTAGCAAGGTGGGTATTGGTCTCTTCTCCAAAGTAACAAGCAATAAGATGAGAGGAAATGGACTCAAGTCGTGCCAGGGGAGGTTTCAATTAGATGTTAGAAAAAATTCTTCACTGAAAGGGTTATCAGGTATTGGAACGGGCTGCCTGGGGAAGTGGTTGAGTCCCCATCCCTAGAATATTTAAAAGACAGGTAGATGAGGTGCTTAGAGATATGGTTTAGTAGCGGACAGGTACAGTTGGACTCTATGATCTTAAGAGTCTTTTCCAACCAAATGATTCTATGATTCTAAATCCCTTCTTCTACAAAAGAAAAAAACTTAAGATGAGGACAAGTATTTCAGAACATATACCTGTAAGTTTAGCTATCTACCCCATTATTTTTGTTATGGTATAAAATACCAGATAAAGAGTCTTCCATGGGTTTGGAGTGACCAAATCTTCAGCATAATTCTGGCAAGCAGTGTTCAAAAGCCTGCATTACCACAACAACAAACCTGTTTTCAGCTTCCCACACTGGGACATTGGTATTTCCTGATGTATGAAGGTTTATCAATGCTCAGTGCAATTTTGCCTGCAGCAGTTTTAGCTATCAGTATTTGGTGTATCAGAGTAATTTGATAGCTTGGCACTAGAGTAGAAGAAAGCAAGACTGATACACAGACAGTTAATTTTCCTGTTTACAAATCAAAGGCCCAAACAACTTCAATTCCTATGTATTTGATAAGGAAAATGCATGTATACAAACAGTCATACTAAATAATATCTTCATCTAGATACAAGACTTTGTTCCTGCTTGCTGTTAGATCTTTACGCTCCCATTCCTGTTAAACAGCTGCACTGTGATCAGCTTACCTACCGTGTTCCTTTATCTATGGAATACAGAGCAATAACTGTGACAGAGTCTAAACTGGCAGGCAGCTAACCAACACACAGCTGTCTGCTCACTCCCCCCACAGTGGGATGGGGGAGGGAAATGGAAAACAGGTAAGCCTCGTGGGTTGAGGTAAAGACAATACAATAGGACAGAAACAGAAGGGAAAATAATAGTAGCAGTAAAAGAATACAGAAAACAAGTGATGCAAAATGTCGTTACTCATCACCTGCTGACCGATGCCCAGCCAGTTCGCGAGCAGTGGTCCCACCTACCCAGGCAGCCTTCCCAGGTTTTTTGTTCAGCATGACATCATATCATATGAAAAATCCTTTCGGCCAGTTTGGTTCAACTGCCCTGGCTGTGTCCCCTCCCAGCTTCTTTTACACCTACAGCCTCCTCGCTGGCAGGGCAGTAAGAAAAGCTGAAAAGTTCTTGACTTAGCATAAGCACTACTCAGCAACGACTAAAACATTGGTGTGTTATCAACGTTACTGTCATCCTAAACCCAAACCACAGCACTATGTCAGCGACCAGGAAGAAAATAAACTCTATCCCAGCTGAAACCAGGACAGACAAAAAGGTGAATTCCTGCCTAGACACTGCTAGCTGACCTCTAGGAATCATGTTGGTAATTTACTCCACCTATCACATACTGTATCTCCAGCATACAAGATAAATGGGCAGAAATGTAAACTGATGCTGCCAAGTCCCTAACAGAACTGGATTAGTGACCTAGAGATGAAAGAATTTACATCCCTGCCAGGAGTATTCTTGTCAATATATTCCTGGTATCAGTCAAGGGCAAAGTGGAAAAAAATAGGAAAAGTTGAAACAGGAAATTAATATGAATAAAAATACATGAAAGACATAAACCAGAATACTGCACTTAATTTTATTTTCAAACAGTAACACATAGCTGCATCAATACACATTTTGTATTATGGTAGTATCACTGCCATAATAGATTACCCCTCTTTTGCATTTCAGACCGTATCACCACTCTTGTAAAAGAGATATTAGCTTGCAGTTCCATGCACAACACTACTGCCCACAATTAGGACTTTGGAGTGTCACTAAGCATCAGGCTAGTGGGTACAGTCTTGAGAAACTTAAGATAATTTCAGGAAGTACAGAGAAACTGAAAACTCAAGAAAAAAAAGCACCATCTGGAAGACTCAGTCTCACTTCTGAGATCAATGTTATTTTCTGAAATGCTATATATGTAGAAATTAACACATTAGAACTAGAGAACACTTTTACCCTCATGGTATTCAGCTTAACATCCAGTGAATCATAAAATGTTTTGGGTTGGAAGGGACCCCTAGTGGTCATCTAGTCCAACCCCCCTGCAGGGAGCAAGGACACCTTTAACTCGATCAGGTTGCTCAGAGCCCCATCCAACCTGGTCTTGAACGTTTCCAGGGATGGGGCCTCCACTACCTCTCTGGGCAACCCTTTCCAGTGTTTCACTACCCTCATTGTAAAGAATTTCTTCCTTCTATCCAGTCTAAACCTACCCTATTTTAGTTTAAAACCATTACACCTTGTCCTGTCACAGCTCTCCCTACTAAAAAGATTTTCCCCATCTTTCTTATAGGCCCCCTTTAGGTGTTCTGAAAAAATTGCTTATTAAATAGGGTGAAAGACTTGTGGGGGTTTATTTGTTTGTTTTAAATATCAGAAGTTTTTCAAGTAGTAACAAATTAAACTCACTGCATACAGTTTTTACCTGGCAAAAACTTCACAGCCTGAAGCATGCGCCTTTCCAGAGCGAAGTCCACCATCAAATGAGTCATACTATCACTGACCTTTGGTTTCAGAGAGATGCGGAACGCTGAAGCCATTGTAACTCTGAAGTCAAGAAAGCAGCATTAGCAAAATGTGTTTTACATTGTTTAAGTCCTATAGCCATTTTCAAAAACAGCCGTCAGATAATCTGTATTGTTAATGTCAAACTGTTAGCCAAAATACCGATCAACAACCAGAATGATTTTCTAATAGAAACTGTTTACCATTTAACACAGACTCCAAACCAGAAAGTTTTGTTAATGTGACTGTCTCAAAGAGAATATGGTGTGAGCTCCCAGTTCCATATTACTAGGCAAAGAAGGACTAGAAGTGACTAGTCAGGAGCTTAAAACTTCTTTTACTAGTGAAAAAACTTGGATAAAAAACAAAATTCTTATCACTTTACACAAAATCAGGAAGTATGAAAAATCTAAAGCATTGCAGAGTCAGGATCTTGTTTTATACACTTAGAAATTTGAAACTTAAACCTTTCATTTAAAAAGGTCCAAAGAATTTTCTGCTTGACAAGTTCCACTGATTACCTCCAAAGTGCATTTTCACATGTTAAGTATTGCTCAGAAGGCATTTATAAATAGCAGTGAACAAGCTGAATATTCTGATTTTGTACCTACCTCTGATCTTATCAGGGAATGAAGAAATGTTTAAGTTGCAGACACCATATTGCTTTGGAACATGCAAGTATTTGATCAGTCTTACAAGATACACTGAAGTGCAGCTCCCATTTCCACTTCTGAAATCTTAGCTCAGTCCTTATTCCGAATACTCCTAAGCCACTCCTGTACTCCAACTACACCACCAAAAAATAGAGGACAACTCTCTTACATAGTTCTGTAACTCTGAAGACATCAGGCCACACAGCAGAATTTGAATAAGTTGTTTCAGACTGCACACAGGTCCTAACTCCTGCTTTACAAAAAAATTCTTAACTAGAAAGTAATATAAACACCACAGAAGTCAGCTGCAAACTCCTGTATCCAATTTACACCCACAGATCTGTGGCACCTTTAGAACACATAACAGCTCACAGGAAGTGATATGCAATAAGTACTACACGGGTATGTGAGAGATTGTGTGCTAACTACGGGTACACTAAAGAATGGTAAAAACCAAAAGCTTTTGGTAGTGAAGGGGGAGGAAATATGAAGTTGAGTATTAAAGACATCAGCATGTCAAGAGTGACAAGCATTACAATTTTGCGATACGAGACACATCATAAAAGATACAGGTCAACTGATTTCCCAAGACAGAGTTGACCTTCTGAAATTCAGTATGGGCTGCCTAGCAGGTTCCACTGCTCAGCCAGACGGGTAGAGTAAATCTCTCATTAAGGAAGAATAATCTTCTGATTAGCAGTAAGAGAACATCAAGTAGTCAGCTTCAGACAGCTTTTTAGCTTCTGTTTAGACACCAATCTTAGACAGAGAATCAGCCACAATTGGTTCAAAAGGATTAGATCACACAGCATTTCAAGAAACTAGAAGAGCAAGAAGATGCTTATTACAGATAAAAATTAAGATTCCCATCACTGTCACTATCCCTCTGATGTGTTAAGGACACTAAATCTTTACCCTAGGAAAAGCAAAGATTAATTTCTCTAGCAATTACTCATTTTACACAAAACTTCAGAGAATTTAGACAATCAGACCCTTCCTTAAAAACCTGTAAATTGAAAGCCAACCTATTTGGTCCGTAAGAGCAACATACACTGGGAATACCCTGTGAGCCGTCATTCAAAATATTATGCACATCACAGTAAGTTTTCTGAACCAGAAGGTTAGACTCTCAGAACATAGTCTGCAACTACTTAAAAAACCAAACAACAAGAAGATTTCCTCATCATTTAAAGGGACAGAGTCAGCTTGAAACATTATTAAATGTCAGCCATCAGGTATCAATACTAAATCAGAATTTTAATAATAATTATATGCTGTATTAATGACATACTTATATATACTTAAGAAATAATAATAGCTGCTGCAGAGCTCTACTTCCCTGCATTAAAAACATCTTTCTCTTTATTAAGGCATGAAAGGCCAACAGTCAGCAAAAAAAAATGCTACATGAGAAGCACAGAAGTTTTTAGTTCTCTCTCAAAAGTTGTGATGTCATGACAACCACTTGTGAAAGAGTCAATGAATTTGATTTAAGCTGACTATGACCCTTTCAAAATAAATGCATTTTCAAGGATAAGATTAATTCAAAGACACAAAAGCGATGGACTTTGTACTGTACCTATCTTTGATCTGTCTGGCAGCCTTGATGCATGTCAGGGAGAAGAGAGAGAAAGTAGTTAGTATTTCCATGCAAGTATCAATGGCAGTAACATGCAAGAAGGCTGAGAACAATCTCAGCTGTACTGCTCAGATTTGAAGATCAAAATGAGTTTAACATTTTCATCAAAACAAATTTTCCCATAAAGCATGTTAATAATATTGGTTAGAACTGCAACAAAGCATCACCTGGGGAAAAAACTGATCTCAGGAACCAAACCAATTCCACACCAAACCAATTCCAAATTACTCAACTTCCTGAGCGTGACTTTCTCTCTTCAGATTTCTCTTAATCAGTTAAGTTACTCTCCAACACATTTTAAAAGAGCTACACTACCAAGTCAGTAAAATTTAATTACCACAGTATTTTCTGTGAAACTATGAAGTGGTAATTAGTGGCATGTAACCATACTTGACTTGTTTGGCTACACATCATAGGACATATACTCTGACAAAAAAGAAAAAAATAGGACTTGCTTTAACTTTTCCTCTGAAAGTTATTGTGCTACTCCGACAATACTTCCTAAAAGTATGTCACTATTCAAAACCACAGGACATCATTTTTTCCAGCACTTAAATGATACCACTGAAGCAGATGCAGAAGTGGTGATGGCAAAGATAAACAATAACTGACATTCGGAAAGACAAAATCCCTGTCCTTCACCAAGAAGAAGTGCAAACCTAAGACAAAATGTTATCGTTGAAGTAATGATTGCTTAGTCAGGTATGTTGAATCCATGCTTGGACCTAACATTACTACTTTATCTACCTGCCATTCAGCTGAACTACTTTCCCTTCCAAAGAGGAGACAAGAAACATCAGATAGCTTCCCAGTTTGAAGTCAAACAAAAGTACAGGACTTCCAAATTTTTCATTAAATACAAAGCACACTCAATAAAAAAACCAAAACAAACCACACAGTTGTCCCTGCTATAAAACCAATTTTATATTCCTCAAATGGGAAGCAGTAAAAACCAAGTGTTTAGAAATAATTTAGCTTAAGAGGTAGCTTTGTTTTACCTCAAATCAGTTATTGTAGGAATCACCGACTGATTTTCCTGCATGACAGTTGTAGACAAAACAGAGCTACTTAAAAACAAAAGCCTTCTTCGTAACCTCTTTGCCTTGTGGAATATGTGGTAGCCAGGACTCAACAAATAGTCTTCTGCAAGATAGTCCTGGCTTAGCTCCTTTGAATTTAGTTTGTTTCCAGGCTATTAACAAAGAAGGCTATCAGCCCATCTCAGATGAGCTGCCCAGCAGTGTCAAATCACACACTTTCTAACCACTGAACCCCCCTGTGTGCTAGCATTCATATTCTTTTGACTTCCAGGTAAGTCAACTCAGTGTATAAAGCCACCAAAAATTTAATATAAAAAAATATTTAAAAAATAATCTTAGTTTAGTCTTATGCTCATTTCTCCTAAACTGATTTACTAGAGGATCCGGAAAAAATTTGTGCCGATAAAAGACAGTCAGGGCTCTGAGGATTATTATAGCAAGCCTAGTGTATTGAGTCAGTATATATGTAGAACTGTTTTATTAATTTGTAGGTATATTCTTCCAGGTAGATATATTTGCCTTATTTAAAAGTCTGCTGCAGTAAAGTATGCATTATTTGTTTTGGAATCACAATGTGAGGCCCAAATCAGACTCTTGCCTACGCAGCATTCAAATGCATTAGAAGCTTTTGGGGAACAGACGAAGAATTTTCCTGAATTCAGTTTCGTAAGTTTTTAAGGACAGCTATAGAGTTCAGGGTTGCAAATTAAAGATCCACAGCTTGCATGAAGTTCTGCAAAACAAACATCTTGTCATCCACAGATGCCTGCAGATAGAATACAGAGACTCCACAAGTGTCATATAACAGCGCTGGGCAACTGACAGGTCACACGGCCATCACACATTTTGAAAGTAGTTCGGTTTTATAGAGATTTATCTCACCCTCACTTTCTGGGTTCGCTTACCTAGCATGAGTGCAAGTTTGCTTAACACTGACAGTTGTCCAGGAGAAGGCATTCCTTTCCTTCCCCCCTCACTCTAGTAAGAAAAAAACTTATTTTATTAGAGATTGCACAAAAATGCAAGGCTATAGTGCTTGACTTGGCCTCCTCAACAGAGCATTAACTGTATTTTTATATGCTTCTCTACCCTTACTCTCAGTATTCCTGATGAGTTTGCAGGGTCCAGTACAGTAATGTAAAGGATATTTCAAATTGAGACAAATACCAACATTTGCCTTATGCACATCTGTTCAGTGTTTTCTACCTTTAAGAATTCCACAGGGTCCTTTATGTCCAGTGACTGTGCAGCAAGTTCCAGCAGTTCTTCAGAACTCTCTAGGGCATTACTACACTGGCTAAGCTGATCCTGAAGCAAAAACAGAAAGTAAGAGTAATTTCATGTATTCACATCAAAAAAATGGTTTATAAACTACCAGTACTAGAACTACATGGGTTTGCTATGCATTTGTAACAACTTATTACCTTATCTAATCAAGACTATTACCTCTGACACATTGTATTAACTAGAACATCACCGTGCTTGACAAGTGCACAGTGATACAGGCCACATCCTATAAATCCCAAAGGGAAAAAGTTGGATAGGTGGTAAAGTCTGACTTAAAAGCCAGATTTCATTTTAAGGCCTGTTCCTCCCAACATCAGGATTTCAGAAGCAAAGAAATGCTTACATCACCAATGAACCGATACTGTTTAATGTAGCAGTAGCCTTGAAAAAGGCAATGATTTTATCCCCACCCAGCTCCAGAAATGTCATAAGACAATCCTGAAAATCAATATTGCTATATAACAAATGGGGATAGAAGAGGAAGGGGAACAGAGGAAGCAGGGCAGAAGAGAAATTTCTCTCAGCATTATCTAAAACACTACCATTAGTAAACTACCATTCCAAACATACAAAGCCATCCACAGAAAACTTCCAGTATTACATACCATAGGTATATCCCTAAGAAGATTAGTTCCGAATTCAGTGCAGGATCCTAAACATACTGTAGGTTAAAGTTTAAGATACACATTTTAAACCTGCCACAGGCTTTTGCATGGCCATTCAACCTACTCATATGACACTTAAACTGTAATATCTCAGAACAAGTAAACAGGAAGTAATTATTTTTCTTTAAACACTTCAGGAAAGACAGCTTGCTCTAAAACAGTCACTCTCTCAAAAGCAACCACCAGTTGTGCATCAACTTCGAGAACAGACCAGTCTTGAACACCACAGAAGCGTAACTAGTTTTGGCAAGTGTGGCAAGTTGACATGGGCCAGCTGCCAGCCGCCCCTCAGATTTACTGTTCAAGGACAAAATAAGAGCAAGGAAACAGTCCAACAGCTAGAAGTTTGTCCACAGTTTCCAGATAACTTCTGAAGCATGCCATTAATGCAAGTTATCATTCATCTAATACAGCTGCTCTCCTCTTTGGAGGATATCCAATGCTGACAAACTCAGATACACCATGATACTGCCAAAATGTCCCAGGCACACACGTCAAAAAAGAGAAGCAAAGGCCAGAGGCATTTTCAAACAGCTTTACAGAAGCGACATGGTAACTGGATGCTTCCATTAGCATCTAACCAAGATGCATCTGCATTTGGGAGTTATAAATAAATACTTTAGTGTCATTAAAATACAATGCCCCAAAATGAAGCCATTTATTTTCAAAGCAAGGGTTTAAGGAGAATTTCTCATTTTCAGCCTTAACTTGCAAGGAAATTATTTGGGAGGAATCAGTCTAAATATTAAACCCTCACCCTTTTCCACCACTAGGTAGCCCCAGTATTTTAAGTTATAGCTTCTTCTCAACAAGAGTATCTAGTCAACTAAGAAGACTACAGCACAAGCACTTTGAGAGGACAGTAAATTAAGCAAGTCCACTCTTTTAAACAGGACGTTTAGACCTCACTGAAGTTACTTGGCTTCCCCACACGAAGTTAACTTTCAGTTTGAGTCAAAGATAATGGCTTGGATTAATACATTCAATGCAACAGTTCTCATATGTTACTTTGGTTTGGTAGATTGAGAGTTGGGAAAAGCACTCTTGCAGTGCCTCAGTTACACAGGAAGCTTGGTCTATCATCAAGGAAAGAGAATGTCCTTTGGGCCTGTAGTTAGAGATCAGCCTCAGCTGAAAGACAAGTAGGGCACTTAACAACTGTGTCAGTGATCTGTAACATTCCACTTGTCTTCATCCTCTTCTAAGTAAGCAGCTCAGCTGTTCGACACAGATACTGGGCAGCGATTCTTGATACAGCTGTGCCACAGTGACAAGCTTTCAGAAGAACTTGGTTCAACCATACCTGAGCTTGATCAAATTATATTACCTATCAGAAAATTAACATATATTAACAGAACTATAAGAAAATCTCAACAGTCAGGTCAAACTGCCAGATGAGTAACTATCAAAACAGTTTTCAGTTCCAGAATAGTTTCTTGCAAGATGGACTTTGGTTATTCTTCACTAGAAGGTAGAACAATTGATACATGCCACAGGTTAATGTCTCCTGTGACCTGTTCATTGAGAAGCACTTATTCTTTAAGCATTTAAGACCTAAGTGTCCTTGGATGTGGGTAGACCTCTATCATAGAATCATTTGGTTGGAAAAGACTCTTAAGAACATAGAGTCCAATCATGAACCCAACACCACCATGCCTACTGAACCATGTCCCAAAGTGCCACATCTATGTGTTTTCTGAACACCTCCAGGGACAGGGACTCAACCACTCCCCTTGGCAGCCCATTCCAATGCTTGACATTTCCATGAAGACATTTTTCCTAGTACCCAATATAAACCTCCCCTGGTACAACATGAGGCTGTTTCCTCTTGTCCTATTGCTTGTTACGTGGGAGAAGAGACTGATACCCTACCTTTCAGGTAGTTGTAGTGAGCAACAAGATCTCCCCTCAGCCTCCTCCAGGCTAAACAACCCCAGTTCCCTCAGCCACTCCTCACAAGACTTTTGATCCAGACCCCTCACCAGCTTCGTTGCCCTTCTCTAGACACACTCTGGCAACTCAGTGTCCTTCTTGAACTGAGGGGCCCAACACTGAACACAGTATTTGACGCATGGCCTCCCCAGTGCCGAGTACAAGGGGATGATCACTTCCCTACTCCTGCTGGCCACACTATTCCTGATACAAGCCAGGATGCC